CTCACCACATCTGGGACTTTTTCTTCATTCAAATGCTCTTCGGCTTCCTCTAGGGGGCTGCTTTCGGAAAGGCCGTGTTCGGGTTCTCCAGCACAGGTTTCTCTCTGGTCTGTTTCTATCTGAATCAAAGGCACTTCCCTTGAGCAAAGAGATTGTCTGGTGTGGCTTAGAGGGACAGCATCACCACACGAGGAAGTTTCCTTTTTAGAATCTAAACTGCTGTGGCTTGCAAGAGGAGCAGTGTTGCTTGGAGGCGACACTGGAAGATGTTTGCTTTCAGTGACAGAGTCTCTCCTGGGGTAATCGACCGGCTCCTGAACGCGCAGGGCTGGCCCACTGTACACCCTGCTCGCGGCTGGTTTACCTGCAGATGTCTCCCCTTGTGAGGGACCAGGCACGGGCTCCGCAGCCGCGGCCTCTGCGTCATCCGCGATAATTTTGTTCTTGCGCATGAGCGCCTTAATTGAGCTTGCCCACGTCTCGTGAATTAGCATGTTTGTGATGTGATCGGTCCCACCTCTCCGGTACAGGCAAGAGTCCGACTGGCAGAGACCCGACGAGGAAGCGCTACTGACCGGCTGCACGTTTAGGAAATCTTGCGGGCAGCTCTGAGCAAAGCCATCTAAGGAGTTGGCTTTGATGGGCGCACTGACTGTCAACCGCGCACATGGGGACCTGCTATCCGGCACCGACGACTGTCGGTAACACAGCGGGGACCGCAGAGACGGGGACAGCAAGCCAGCTGTCCAATCCTGGCTGCTTCGTCTGGAGGAGGCGCTGTCTCTTTCGATGTCCCTCAGCATGTACCTGTAGAACTCTTCGGTGATGCTCTCCGTGCTGGACTGCTTGGAGGGACAGCTCGGCCTCACGCTGAGGTGGTCAGTTCTCCGGCATGCCTGTTGCATCGCTGAGCTCAGAATGCTGCTGGCGTTCTTGCCGGCGTAGTAATCCAGCAGTAACTCAAACCCTCTCCCTTCACTTTCCATCTGATTCACCATGAACCTGGAAAACTCTTCGGTGATGCTCTCGCAGCTGGACTGTTTGGAGACTGAACTGGCCCTGCTGACTGGCGGGCTTAAGGTACTCATTAAACCCGGGCTGTTGACATAGGCCCTGGCTTCCGAGTCCTCCTCGGGAATGCTTTCGCAGCTGGAGGCCTTCAGCCGGCTCCACCTGTCCCCACTCAGTAACCGATTCCGGGGGTAGCTCTGGGCTTGCCACACGCCGTCCACCATGGAGAACTCAGTTAGGTTCATGATCTTGGCGGCCACTTCATTTGCAAAGATATTGACAGAATCTGGGATGTCCTCAAGGTTCATAGACTCGTCCACAACCCTGTTCATAAGCTTCTCCTTCAGCTCAGGGTGCTCATCTGTCTTCCTCTTGATCTCACTGAGCCGGGGCGGCTTGTGTTTCCTCACAGCAGCGCCACCCGCCTGGCTTTCCTTCTTTCTCTTCAAGGATCGGCAAGATGCGTTGGGTGTAACCAGAAACTCGCTCCCTCTTTTCCATGCACAAAACCAGGGTTGTTTCCCATTGGAGTTGTCAAGGCAAATCGCTGCGATTTCAGTTGCCATGGAGACCACCGTCTCTGCTAATTCTTCGGCAAAGTCTGCAATGCAGTAGATGTCTGCATGCTTTGCTTGCAGCATGGATTGAGCAGGAAGCAGCAAGTCATCCCCTAACAAGGACAGGTTACCTTGAGCTTCGTTGTTTAGAGGTGTGGCACAATTGTACTTTTCTTCAGTGTCTGGGTTGATACTGTCTTCAGCATCCTGGGAACCACTCCTGCACTGGCCTATGGTCAGTGACCTTTCTGCTTTGAAACAGGCTCTGTATTCATTCTCACCAGGACTGGGTGTCTGATGAGGGTTTTTTGTATCCTCTGCCACCATTCCTTTCAGATATATTTCCTTGGGGGATGTTTTAGCAGCTGAAGAATCGGCCACTCTGTGACTACACAATAATTCAGATGGCAGCATGGGGTTCTTGAAGAGACCTGGCCTCAGGCCACCCTTGTGGTCTTGCTTTGGATGCACGTCATCCACAAGATCATCGATGACAAGACTGGTGCCGTGCGCATCGCTAAGTGGATAGCTGCTGGAGTGTGCAGTGGCTTTTGTCCGTGCTTGACCAGCAGCCTGATCCAATGGCTGGCAGCCTAGTTCTGTCTCCTTGGAAAGCACAGTGGGATGTTCACCAAGCTGTACGATATGGCTCATCTTCTTGAACGTGAAGCACATCACACTGAAGAGCAGTTGGTTTGTGCTTTCCATTAAGGTGTCCAGAGTTTCCAAGGAATGCCTGCCATCGTTGGGGTCGATTATTTTATTTTTCTGGTGAACTTCCTCAATGGAATGCTTCAGGATCACGTTGGACAGGGTCTGTGCCAGATCATTCTTGAGGACATTTTCTGAGCACAGGGTTTGAGGCTTTGAAGCAGTTTCTATGATTCTCCTGTTCATGGATTCCAGGAAGTCTCCAATGCTGTTGTAGGTGTTAGGCCTTGTTAAAACCAGAGCAGCCTCCTTGAGCAACCCCTCCACAATGGCTTCCTTTCCCAGCTCCATGCTTCTCCCTGTTGCTAAACCATAAAGTGGTGGGGTTGCTTCAGAAGACCCACCTGTTGGTAAGAAGCCACTTGGAGCCACAGGGCACGTTGCCTCTTCTCTTTCACCCAGGCCACAGACAGCGATGGCACTCGCCACCTGAGTCATGCCACACAAAGCAGATGGAAAGGAGTATTCACTGAGGGAAGGCTCCTTGGCTGCTGGGGATGCTTGCATTTGCAGTGCTTCACTGTCACCCAGTGGACGGTGTGATACCAGGGCCTCTTGCTCCATTTTGAGTCTTTCTGTGGCCTGTGGACTGGAAATCGTTCCAATTACAGTGGCCGCACATGCTAATGCTACTTCTAGAGCACTCTGGGGGTGTCTGTTGGAGTTCTCTCCAGAGTGGATGCCTGAAGTTTCCATGGAGACTTCCATCTTGGGCCACGAGGAGATGCTTGGCTCCAGGGCAGCATCGCTGCCATCTGGACTCTGAACAATGACGATTTTGGGGAGCTTATTCCATGACCGAGGGACCATAGTATCTTTCATGGAATAGCAACTGGGAAGCAGAGCACTTCCTCCAGACACACTGACTGCAGATTCCTGGGGTAGTGTAGGCTGAGACTGAGATAATCTAATAAATGCATCTTGCAGCACAGATTCTGCTAAATTTGTAGCATACTCGCCAGTTGTGACTTCTCCATCTTGTCCAGGAGGAAGAGAGTTTCTTGCATCTTTTTGGTCTCCTGGGTCCACCTGGCTGGCCTGCCCAGCGACAGTGCCACATGCAGAAGGTGCGTCTTTAACCATCGTGGAGAAATAAGCATCACTTGGAATATACAGAGCCTGTGATTTTTCCACTTGACCTTTAAAGGTTTCTGAACAATAACAATTTGTGGAGTGTCTCTCACTCCCCACAACCTCACCTTTCCACTGTGAAGGCTTGGCTGAGGGACCCAGACCCTGCAAGCCTGTGTTCTCTGCTAGGTTTTCTGGAGATCGTTCTGGTTTAACAAATGGTGTATGATATTTGCCAATGTGTTTGTCTTCCAAAGTATAAAGCAACTTTGCCTTGTAACACCATTCCTCCTGGGTAGCTTCCTTTGGCTTTTTACTCTCCAAAACATTGGCTGAGACATTTATATTTTCATAACCTAGTGTAGAGAAAATGAAGATCACTATCACTTTTTGGATAGCAGGTTGTCATGAATCTAAAATAATAATTACTTTCTAAAAATACCTTAAAGTATCAACTATCTTTTTTTCTTCAATATTCATTTTGAATATTTCTTTAATAAAAGTGAACCCGAAAAGGCTTTTGAATTTCATTATGGAATGCCACCCAATAAACTGGCTATCAGTGTGGGATACGTATGCAAGCCCCAGAGTAGGAGAAGTTGTTTGGGCAACTGAAGGCTCACTATTCTTTAGGGAAAAGCAACTCAAACAACTGCATCTTAGAGGTTCCCATTGGGTACAGAAGGAGGAGGGGGGATGTTTAGAGCAACATAAGTAGTGGGACTTGTTGCAAAGATTTGCTCTGAAATTTACATAAGACTTTCCCCAGGGATGGTGACAACAACATCTGGGATACGTACACCTTTCTCTGTGGCTAAAAGTGAGCAAGAGGAAACCATTGTTCATTGAGTTATGTTAATGAGTCAACAGAAATTGCTGAATACATGAGTGCTAAGCACTTTCCTGGGTTATCTCCTTCTGTCCTCACAAAAATCATTAGCTACAGGCACTAGTGCACTCCCAAATTACAGATAAGGAAACTGGGGCTCAGAAAGATTCGATAACTGGCCCCAGGTCTCACAGCCTCAAAGTGGCAGTGCTGGGATTCAAATCCAGGCAGCCCAACTTGGCTCCAACTAAAATATGGCTTGTAGGGAAATCTCAGGAAAGTTAACTTTCCTCCCAGTGGTATCCTCCATCTCTTGGCAGGCAGGAGGATTTCTCTTTAAAGCACACAGATTTCCTTTGGCATCCCTAAGGCATCGTTGGGGAGTCTGGATCCATCCGACCATTAAGTCTGCTAAGTGCATTTGTCAGCATCTTCACCGGTGTGCTCTCATGCTCCTTCCTTCCTTAAAATTTAGCAAGTAATGATTGTGATGTGTCAGCCAAACCGACGGGGCCTGAAACTTTTCTGAAATCTCACCCAGACATTTTTATATGGTGACTAATTTCAAGATGCACATTTGTTTTATTAGAAAGTTCTCACCATTCCTATATTCTTCCACCTCGCTTTCCTCCTCCAAGTGCTCAGATGCGGTGAGAAAGTCTTCCTCAATTGAGGATAAAGAACAGTTTGTGTCATCCTCCAGTTTCAAGACATTTGTTTCCAGGTGGAGCTGCCGCTCCTGCACCAGTTCCAGACCAATCAAAAATTTGTTGATTTCAAAGATGATGCAATTGGTACTGTTTGGTCTGTTACCTCTTGCACATTGGACCAAGCAGATATCTGGTAGCCAAGGGCACTAAAAGTGGAGAGAAAAGAAGGCATTTAAGGAAAATAAAAGACTATTGCCTCTGACCTTTCTCTTTCCACCAATCTCTCCTGTTAAAATGAGTGGGGACCTTTAACATATTTGAAATATCTTCTGAGCTTATATTGATGAATTGCTTGAAAAAAATTCAAGTGTTATTTGGGAACGTGGGGTACCTAGGAGAGAGTTTGACTTAGGGGAAAATAGACCAACTGTATTAAATATTTTAGTTTCTCCCGGTCAAAGCAAAAATTGCACTGGGCACAGTTAGATAGGCAAGGAAGATTTTATTCAAGGCTATTGAAATAGGGAAGAGAGGTCAGAACTGAGTTGGTCCACAACTCCCCTTAAACAAAAGGCAATAGTGTGGCTTTATTCAAAGGAACAGTAAACTTTTTTGTATCTTTACGGCAGGAGGTAGTTTTACAACTTGGAGCAAGGCCCCCACAGAAGTTAGGCTCCTGTGTGCCCACAGAGACTGGGAGATTGGGGCACTATCTTCCTTGATGATTATATTTCAGAAACAACCCCTGGGTCCAAGTTTTGCACACATTCTTGTGTGTGAAGCTGGCAAGAGGCTTTTAGAAAAGAGTTACCTCTCAAAGTGGCAGGGAAAGGGAGGGAATTTACAATTATATGTTTTCTAGGTTGAATGTTCTAAGTAAAGGGAGGTCAGGGTGTAGAGTCAGGTAGAGCCTGTCTAGAGCTTGGTCAAGCTGAGGAGAACGTTAAGCTGGACTTGGTCACTTCTCTTGATAAACTGAGTTCCGTTGTCTCAGATCAATACCTTTCTCTGCCTTGATGGTATTCAGTAAGACCTATGCCAGTACTTCAGATGTGTAGTAAGTGTTCTATCAACTACGAGTAGAGTTTACAATTTGTATTGCTCATCTGAAGAAGCGGCCGAAATGAAATTTAAAGAAATCCACTGGAAGCGAACTAATTATCTCTAAAAGACTGGCATGTGGGAAGAGCAGTGATAAACAGGCCAAAATTATTGAATGGTGTTCCAGTTAGGGCTGTCAATTCTGTTTACTTGTAGGGTTATAGACCAGACCCTTCATCTCCACTGCGCAGTTTCACTATTTATATTATTGCTCACTAGGATAGTAATAAAAAATTTTTAATAATTCTGGAAGAGAGGACTATACAATGAAAAATTCAATCTTTCTCCAAGCGATTCAGGAATCCCCAGGGGTTGGGAAATAGAATTCATCTGTGTGCATCTGTGATTAGGTCTAATTTTCAAGGAAGGTGGCCCATAGCCTTACTTTTCAGTGTCAGTGTGGATCAGCAGCTTACACATCACCCGGGAGCTTGTTGGAAATATAGTATATAATCTTAGGCCTCAACCAAGATCTGCTAAGTCGGAATCTGCATTTTTCCAGGAATCTGTTGGGGATTCCCACATGCATCAACATTTGAGAAGCACTGGGCTATAGCTTTTGCTGAATTCATGTAGGGTCTGTGATTCCCCCAAATGGTGAGGAACTGCAGCTATAGAGTAACCAGTAGTTGGCTTGATTAATTATCTTTTCACCAAACTTAGATACATTACACTTAACTGAAACTTCCCAGATATTTTCTGAGTGCCTGTTATACACAAAGTATATGGGGAGGTGTAATCAGGTAATTGCCCTGTGGAGTAAGGCACAATATACTAGCAGTTGGTCAGCCATGAGTAAACATAATTATAAAGTTAAACCATATGAAATTGCCATATATACAGGTCAAAAGAGTTGCATATTGGCCATTTCATATCAATTCAAATTAAGTATGTACAACAAAGGTAAAATGTGGTAGAAGCCAAAGAGATATTAACAAAGCAATATAAATAGTTAAGCAATACTTTAAGATTAATTTATAGAAAGAATTTTATTAAATGTGCAATATTACACTGCTATAGCATTCTTGGAAGAAAAATATTTTCTTAACAATCTTCTTGAATGTAAATAAACATCCTGGGAATCTTAGCTAAATGAAGGCCAAACAACATAGCCTCTAAGATAATGGTAGATATCATCATATGATTTTTATGGTAGTTTATTGGGTGCTTTGCATATCTTTTTGCCTCCAGACCTCTTAGATAGAACAGGTATGCTGAATTTTGAACACTTTTTTGATGGAAGATCTTCAATGTGTCCTTGGCAATTCAACTCTCCTAATCTCAATGAATATCTGTGATGCTTTTGTGACCCAGCATCACTTATTCTTCCTGTTCTCATACCCTGTGGGGCACCATTTTCTGCCTCACTCACAGTCTAAGTGATTCACATGGAGTTAACTCACCCACAACTCCAGAGGCAATCATGTGACTCAGGCCTGGCCAATCTGAGCAATGCATTCCTCAGGCCATAATGATAGGTTCAGAAATGGGCATGTGACATATGACAGCCAATAGGACACAATGAAACTTCTGCTGGGAGCCACTTGGGAAGGACATTTACTTTCTTTCTCTACTTGACTCCAAAAAGATATTGCCTCCTTGTGGGAAGAGCTTGTTTGATAATGGGGCCAATGGAGAGAAAGCAGGAAAGAGGCCACAAGAAAATCCATGTCCTGATGACATTAAGTCCCTGTATCTAATCTACTCACTGGAGATTTTTAGTTACCTGACACAATACATTCTCTTTGTGCTTAAGCCAATTTCCTGTCATGTTTAATTAAGAATTCTAACTGGGATTAATCAGAGACTAGCAAGTTTATCTCAAGGTCAG